TTTTTTTTTCGTTCTGTGATCAATCATATGAAAGTTCCTGAAGAAGAAGAAGAAGAACTGAAAAACACTTGTACAATATAATATAGATTTTCCATATTGAATAATAAATTAGTGAATTTTGCAAAAATTCTGTTAACTTGATTTTGTCTTTGTCGTTCCATCATTAAAATCTTTCAAATTAGATACTTGTGCGTAATTTTTTTTATCATTAATGAAAATCTATTTTATATAAATAATAGAGAATATTTTTCTGTAACATAGTAAAAAATCAACTAATGTTCAAAGATCTGTTATGTGTTATATTCTCTGAAAAATGTAAATTAATTAATCTTCGAGTTGATATTCCCTGCAATCAATCTTATTTGATTATTCACCATTGTTTATCGTTTTCTTATCATGATTCAATTTCAAATTTATTCAAAGCAAAATATTGCTGTGGAAAACTTCGTTATGTAGAGATTCGTCTACATTATGCATGTTTTATTGAATATCTTATTGAACATGCACCCAATATTGAACGATTATCGGTTTATCTCAAGACATCATGGAACAGATATCAATTATCGGATTTGTCAAGTGAAAAATTTGAACAATCGAATACAACCTCGTCTAATAAAGTAAAATTTCTGTTATGTTTTGTTCTTCTGAGGAAAAATGACTCTTGAAAAAGGTTTATTCGAAAGAACGTATTGCCACTTTAGTCATAATTGAATATTGTTTTTTGAGAATAGAAACTTCAGTAAGAGTATTGATTTGAAATGGTCATAAACTTCGCTGATGGATAGCATATTTGGTGGTCGAAAAGGCAGACTTTAGCATAATTGCAAGGGAACATATACAAAACGAAATAGATCTCGTTACGATACTGAGAATATTTTTTGCTTAATCTCAAATTCAATTTAGAGACAACAAATTGAATGCTTCTTATGAAAGCTAAAATATTGTTAAAACAGAGGCAGCGCGAATTGGAGAGGGAGTTTGGAGGAGGATACCTTCTAGCTTTTTAAAAAATGAAGAGCAATTGTCTTTCATTTTTGAGTGACTTCGGACGCGCTTGAGTAGGCCCTTTGGTTTTGAAAAATTGAGAATGAATTCCTCCGGTTTTTGAGAAATTTCGTCGAATTTTATCATGCTCAGAAGTGTCCTGATTAGAGACCGCGAAGTGGAGCTAGAGTGTAGATTCCTTATTAAATGAAAATTTTGGAATTTTTCGTTATGAAAAGTAGACAATGGTATACGTTGATTTCATAATTTAATATTTCAAGAACAACTTCCAATATAAACAATGTTTTCAGCTTCTTTTGTCTTTCGAGATTGATAACAGTTGAAAGGACAGCCGCATTCGGCATCTAAATATAAAGTAAGAACTATATATTTGCTTTGTCACTTTACAAAACTAATTCCTATTTTATTGAGTAATACATATTTCAGCAGAACATTTGTAATAGTGTTCTAGATGCCTGCCGCCTTCGGCAGTTGAATATAAAATAAAAAATCTTTCTTGTTGGGTCATTCGGAAAGTCGACTTTTTATTACAAAGAATTAAAGATTTTCCTGAGTTCCGTTTTTGATACTACTGCAAAAAAGTTTCCGCCTTCGGCAGTATGCGCGTCTAAGAGGCATGCTAAAATAATATTTTTCATAGAACCATTTTGTCATCAGAAAATGATGGTTTTGAAGCGAAAAATTTTCATTATGGGACTAGAGTCCAAACGGATGGAAGATTTTTCAGACCCGGACCCGGATTCAGACCCAATTGATTAAATGTTTTAGGACCTGAACCCGGACTCGAACATGATTGAGTAAACTTTTCAGACCCGAATCCGGAACCCGGATCCAAATTTTTGGACCCCGATCCGAATTTTGAATCACACTCTGACTACTTTCAATGAAGTTCTTTTGTCTCTGAACCTGATAGTCGCTCCCAAAATACCACATTTGTTTTTTCACTTATTTATATCGATGACCAGCATAATCACCTGGACCCAGACCCGCGCGGGTTCGGGTCAGACTCTATATGGGACACTACAAAAGTTATACGTACAAAAAAAGAAATGGAAAACGATTCTTACACTTGCGACGAAAATATTTTTACCAATCCCGTCACTTCGTTCGGCAATTTTTCGTTGTACAGGGATCTTTTGAAACTGTTTAGGAAGCTTACACACCCCTCATAATTCCAGACCCCTTGGTCGGTCACTGGTCCCAAGTAGGGTGGTTGAGGGAGATTGCCTGTCTAATCTTAGAAAATTTTTTAGTTTTTGATCGATAACTTAACAATTTTTCGCGGATTTAAAAAAATTCTTTTTAAAAATTTTCTAAAAGTTCATCACCCCATATGTTTCATTGTTGGATACCGGTACCCTCCTCCAAAAGTTTCGGATGCACTTTTCACATTTTCTTCCATTTGTGAAAATACTCGTCCACTGCTATGAGCTCTTCGCAGCGCTCCTGTGTCAAAAACAATTAATAAGTTTTTGTAGGTTATAAAATATTAAAGGGAAATAGTAAATAATACGTATATTTAATCAATATATTTTATTTTTTTTATCAGAAAATAAAAATAAAAATATTTGATTATTGATGAAATATTTATTTTTATCCTATTTTAGAAATTCAGTGCAGAAAAATTAAAATATCTTATATTAAAGAGTACTGTTGATTATGATGGTCAATTATATTATTTAAAATGGTTTTTTAACAATTTAAATAGTGTTGAAAATATCAAAATTCGTCTTAAGATAGATGGAACTTGTGAGAAAAATCCAATAATATATGGATCTATTGTTGATGCAAACTTTATTTGGAAATATTTAATGAGTGATACAATAATCAATTTAATTCATTTTGATTTTTATATTGTTTCCAAATGTAAATTATTGTCAAATTATAGTGAAAGAACAATTAATTCATTTAAAAATCATTCCTTTTTTATCGAACGTCATTGGACAAACGTTAAATGTTTGTTCGATGAAATAAAATTTTATCAACATCTTTCTTCTTCGCCATCTACTATTAATAATCTCTCAGAATATTTTTACGATTTAATGTAACAAATCTTCTTTTTTTTCTTTAGAAATATATTTGTTTATTTTAGAACCTATCCGGATATTTTTTATTGGCCAAATGTCAAATATGTCCAAATAGATTTGAATAAAAATGTATATTCGTATCTCGAACGAATTGATAAATGCTTTCCAAATGTGTCTTGTATTAAATTTAATACGGGTAAAGATTTTCTACTGTAAACTATTTTAATAAACCATTTCGATTTTTATAAACTGACAAATATAAAACATGAAGTTCAATTTGTATAGAGAAAGAAAGAATTTTCTAAACATTATTTATTCTAATTTAATGATTTTAAAAAAATTCGAAAAGTATTTGTTTATTTTCATAAGGTGGTTTCTGGTTAGCTAACTCAAATTATTCAATATCATCATTTGAAATGGAACAACTGAAACTAATAAATATTCACTTGCGATACGTGACCAGACTCGATTTTGGATTACATTTTCATCGTAACTCTGGTAAATATAATTTTTCTTTTTTTTAATATTCAATAAGAACACAAGACTCGATCACATCTTGACAGCGATAGCTTCATAAATTTCATTTAATTGAACTATTCTATTCTGCAAACAGATTTGCAAAGAAATCGTATGTCATTTTTTTCATTGTTTTATAAAGAAAAGGATCTTGACAAACGTTTGAAATCCAAATATCTTGTATTTTGATAATCATAAGAATGTTTAGAAAGTTTTGCTATTTATATTTCATAACGAATGATCATTATTAAAGTAATCTCAATTGGAATTTGTAAACATGCTTATGATTTATAAAGAATCTGTCAATCGTCTTAAAGTGTTATTTTGAACATAATTTAATTCGTATACTAGTAAAAAAAGATATGGTGTTGAGAGCTGCACAAGTACAGATATAAATGTATTCTGAAAGAGATTAAAAATTTGGTTTCAAAAGCTTTAGCATTCTTTCAAAATACGATTCTTAGGTAGGAAAATTCAAATAACTCTGTCCCGATTAGAGGTATAATAGATGTTTTTATTTTAAAGGTTTTCATCAAAGCTAATTTTTCATTGCATGAATTTTTGATACTTGCTTCCTGGGCTTAGAAAAGTCGGATTTACTGTCGATCGAGTCACCTTTTTTTTCATATTTTGAACACTATGACCATTAAAATGTTCATAAAAGAGAATGGAAGAGAATATGAAAATTCCATCAGACGAAAAGTTGCGCACAGAAATTAATTTTAATTTGAAACTAGTCTAAGCTCTGTACATCGTCTTACGACGGAATTATTTCGATTCTGCTGGAAGATATGAAAAGAAGTCGAAAGTTCGGGCTAGTCAGACATATCAGACTGAAATTTTTACCTTAGGCGTGTCTCACTAGGATTATTCGTTCCTAAACATGTCAGTCCAAACAGTACAGTACATTTTAAGATGGAAATCATTTCTGAGGAAACCCTTAACGAGAATGTTCGTTTTGAAATATTGATAAATTCATCGCAGATCACTTGTAAAACTAGATATTTTCATTGCCACAATTTCCTTAAAACTATGACAAGCATCTCAAAATAATCATGCTAGGTCGATCGAAGGTCATTATCAAAGGCAATGTCAAAAAAATTCGAGTAATGAAAATAGCTGTTTTTACAAGCGATCTGCAGTGAACTTATCAAGATTTCAAAACGAAACATTCTCGTTAAAACATTGAAATAGTCGCTTACTTTGTAACCAAATCATATCACAGTGCTTGTCAGAGCTCATTATAGTTAATCGTCTTTACTTAAACAATTTATTTTATATATACCTCAAATACAAGTACAAAGTACCATATTTTTCTACTTAATTCTAAGTACAAAACTTCATCTCAGTGTATACGTATAAGTACCAAATAACTTTCTTAAAGCACAAATACAAGTATCAAGTACATTTTTGTAAGTACAAGTACAATATTTCTACTTGAAAAAGTAGCGAAAGTACAAGTACGAATACTTTCTCCCTGGCTCTGAGGAGAACAAGTCCAAGATGACACATAGAGCAATGAAAAAAGGTCAATATGTCATGTATTAGAAAGTCTTGAACAATTTTATTAGTTCAAGAATGATGAAATCTCAAAGAAAAATAGAGAATTAGTTTTTGTTATCATTACACTTAAAAAGAAACTTTTCTTGAGTATACTTACCGAAATAAAGTATCTATGTCATTTATTTGTGTATGATATAAGTATTACAGATTATTGTCTGAAATAGAATTTACTTTTATGATAACAAAAATTGAATAAAAGTATATTTTCAGCATACAATGAAAAACTCGTCGATCTAAATACAGAACGTGCAAAAATACTTGCTCGTATCATTTCAATGCCCGTTCAACTCAATTATCTTCGGATCAAAAATTTTCAATGGCTTTTACATCTTGTTGAATACGTAAGATTAAATTTGACTGTTACATTCATTTCGAGCTGAAAATGATAAATACATTTGTGATAACTATTATATCCCCTAACTTACTAAACTGGAATCTATTCGCATTGAGTATAATAATTAAACATAGGGTAGGAGGACATAAAACCGTATTTGCCCCGCTTCCCTTTTTATTTTCTCATTTAAACCTAATTAATTCATATACAGAATAAAAGATCATGAGCTCCTGACTATTTTGATGCCAAATTCGAGGTATTTTTATCCGATTATTGATGTAAATATGGCGTAATACTTTAAAAAATTCATGAATTCCAAATTCAAAAAGTTTCATAACCCTTATTATTCTATAGTGAGAAAACCCATTTTTGACGCGCCTTGGTTTAGTACAAAATTTGTTATTGATGCTATTTCAACTGACAGAGTTTTCAACTAGAAACAAAAACATTTTATGGAAACTGTTCACAATAGACCTTGAGGACTTGTGGTTATCATTATATAACAACCTCTGTAGACTTAGGGTTACCCCGTAGTAAAGACCTCGAGAATTATGGGTACCTCTCAATAACAGGCCTGGAGGAGGAGCCACGGATATCCTGTAGTATAGGACAGGAGCAGCTAAGAAAATCTCTATATAATATACTTAGAGAGCCAAGGTTACCTCCTAGTATACGACTTGAGCACCTCTATATAACAGACCTTGATGACTAAAGAGTATCTCTATATAGTAGGCGTAGAAGACTGAAGGGTGCCCCATAGTATAGGACTCGAGAACCTAAGATTACCCCACAGTATAGCTTTTGAGAGACTCAAGATATCTCTATATAACAGATCTTGAGGACTTAAGGGTACCGCCATGGTATAGACGTTTAGTTCCTATGGATATCCGTAAGCAACCGATGATTTAATAATATATATTCATTATATATACCCAGTCTACCAGTCGCGACTGGGACTGGTGCATGTACACTTTTACCAGTGTTCTCGATGCACAAATGAGAGAATATGGGAAGCCAACTACTCCTATTGAATATGTGATGGAGTCGTCCAACTGAAGGTTCGCCTTCAAATATTTATTTTAATACAATTGTTTAATGCAGTTTTTCACGTGCTTTCTAATGATATATACATTCTAATAAGTAAGACTTTCTCGGAAAAAAAAACATTTTATGACCAGGTCACTTAGAAATTCCTAGATGGACTCTTGAACGGTCATACTTTCTCAAGTACAGTCATGAAGGGTAATTCGAATCATATTTTTAAAAATGCATTTTGTTTTTCTTCGTTCTTCTGTATTTTACGTAATATAGAAGTGAATTTTGGATCACAAGTAGAACAAAGTATACTCTATCGATTGACGAAAGAATCTTCGAAAAATCATGTATTGTAAGAAAATATGATCAAAAATACAAAAAGCAGTGTCGAAATGATCCGAATTATCCCTCATGACTGTACTACAAGGCAGTTTTGACAAAAAATTAGTCATTCGTCATAGCATAATTTGGTCTTTTCAATGATGTATAATGAAGAAATTTTCATATTACAATGAACAAGTTACAACTAGAAACTATAGCTTGTCGGATAATTTTGGAAGATTAAAAAAATGACATACTTTTAGTATATCCTCAATGAATTCCCTATAAATTACTTGATCGATCTCAGGTTTTTTGTAAACACAGTAATAGTCATGAGGTATTATTGGATAATATTCAGATTATTTTGAGCTCGTCTAATTTTCGAAACATAAGCAAGACAAAAACTGTTTTCCTGCTTGTAGGATAATTTTGATAGCCACTGTATATCTATAGAAAATGAAAACGGAAAGAAATAAATATTTTAAAGTTGTAAGAAAAGGAAAGATATCAAGAAGGAAAAGTTCTTAAAATAATCTATATTGAAAAACAAGATATTTAACACTTGTTGCATATATTTACTTATTTGATCGTTCGAAATTTCATATTTATTTTTATGAGCCAATTATGATAATTGACAATGATTTATTTAATTGTTTTTCCACTTATATTTCTAGGCGTTTGATGAATTAAAAGAGAATGCATTAAGCAACGTGAGGTACACGGAATTTTCTCTTCCAAGTTGTCGTTTTGGCACAAATGAATCAATTCATCTTGGAAAATATCTTGTACCTTTTCTTAGTAAATATATGCCTTATCTACAAACGTTGTGTCTTTGGAGACCAGATGATTTTCCTTGGTCATCAAGTAAGTGTTTTCTAGATAAAAAAAATAATTATTACGTGAGGCACTCCAAAAGTTTTTTCGCCCGCTTCTTCTAAAAGCCTTAGTTTGGGTTCAAATATTCCGTTAAAATGCTTAGACATATTAAGAATTATGAGCAAAATTTCAGCCTTATAAGTCTTACCCTTTTGCTGTTGCCCATCATTTGTTTTACGTGAGTCAGATGCCATTTTCTGTAGTCTACATAACGGATGACTTACAATAAATGACAGAACTTTGCATTTCATATTTTGATTCTTAATAACATTATATTAAAAAAAAAATATACCAGGAGGTTCAGCGTGAAAAGCTCTACTATTTACATAGGAGAACCAATTTTACAGTAGCACATCTAGTGTCCAAAAATTGACAAAGTTCTGAACAATAAAATTTCGATGATGTGGAATCAATGTTTTTTTTTTTGATAAGAGATGAATTCGTTTTTCCTTATGTCATTTTTGCTTTTACCTAATATTTTCTATTAAATAAAAGTAAAACATCAAATGCAGCATGAAAAGCTCTACAATTGAGAAAGAATTGGTTATTTTAATTGTGTACTTTTTATTTTTTAAAAGAAGCAAAATTCTCCGGAGTACTTTTCGCAGCAGCGTTGAAAGTTGGTTGCTAAGGATACTGTTTGTTTTGAAACAAAAAGGATACACTTAAGATAAGCTTTACATCGTAGATTGTAGAGCTTTTCACGCTAGATCTCCTGGTATATTTTGCTCTTTTTTAATAAAATGTTTTTAGAGATGAAAATAGGAAATGCAAAATTCTGTCATTTACTATAAGTCACTCGATATGTAGACTATAGAAAAATGGCATCCGACTCACGTAAAATAAATGATGGGCAACAGCAAAAGGATAAGATTTATAAGGCTGAAATCTTGCTCATAATCCTAAATATGTCTAAGCAATTTAACGAAATACTCGAACCCAAACTAAGACTTTTAGAAGAAGCGAGCGAAAAAGCTTTTGGAGTGCTCTACGTATTTAAGGGCCTCCCCTCAGAACATTCAATTTTTCAGAGACGAGTCGAGATTGAAGTTTTATCATAGGAAGTTGCACTGAAGTCTCCTCTTTCAGAATATCTATGGTTTATCGGAAAATGAATTGATTTTGACGAACTTATCGTCTAAAACTTGACTTCTACTACCATATTTTTCGAGAAATTTTCATGGTCTTTTTTCAAGGTTTTTTGACTTTTTAGGTTTCTTTCTCTTTGCATCAGTATTTCGTAAAGCCTTTTTTATACCAATCACTATGAGACTATTACAACTTAATATTAAGAGCACATATTTATAGCCGGTCTTGAACAGTGATATATAAATCAGATGATTTTCGGAATAATCGATTTCTAGTACTTATTTTTCGTTTTTCTCAAAATCAGTTTTTTCGTCATGCAGTTTACGCAGGCAGGTTTTTCTCCATAACGACTCGACATAGAAATGATAATTTTTTTTTATTACATAGGAGACATGTAGGGCTAGGACTTCACAGGCTCCGATTTTTAAATTTGTCTTTTGCTGAAATAAAATACTTGTATATTTCATTTCTATGAGCACTTCGAATTCGAATATTTTTCGAAAAACGTTTTTTAAAAATCAAATAAAGAGAAATTCAAAAATCGGAGCCTGTTAAGTCCTAGCCCTAAAGGTACTCTACAATCTGAAAACCGTCCGGGCTTCATAGCTCATATCTTTATTGCGAAATTCTTGCCCGCGTAAAGGGTAATGAATTCACTAGAACTTGTGCATTTCTTTGAGATTTGGGGGATATATTTTAACCATAAGCTATTCTACTCAAGACTAACATTCTCTGAAATTTTGGTTGAAATCGGATGAAAAATAGCAAAGTTCGTTTCAGAAGGGGGCCTTAACTTGTTATTTTTATAATATTGTGGAAAGTTTAAATAAAAAAAATTCTCTGTACGGTCTCTTACAATGTTTGTCAAATTGTGCAAATGAATTTTGCATGCGACAAATTCATTTATTTAAATATGAAATCGATTGTTATTTAGTAATTTTTGTTTTTTTTTATACAATTTCTTAATTCATTATAATATCATTTAAATCTTAAATATAAACCTTGGAAATAAATGAGAGAAATTTTGTTATATTTATCTCTTCCCTGTTAAAATATAGAAGTCAAAAAATGAAGGAAGTTTTTTATTCGAAAACATCGATTATAGTTGCGTCTATATTTAACACAAATCATATTTAAATAGTTTCTTTTCTAAAAAAATTCGTGACTTTAAAGTTTTTTAATTACAGACGGTTTGAAGCATAATTGCTTTTAAAGCAAAATATGGTATGAATAAGATCTTGTGTGAAAATTTATTTTTGTGTTATACGAGAAAAATATTTTTTTATTGAAAAATTTTTTTTTTTTTCTTTTGTTTTCGGAAGTTCGACCAGATTTTAATCGAACACATTATAGACTTTTAGCTCAACGATGGTCAAAATCTTTAAAAACAGTTGAATCGATTAGTACGTAAAGAAAATTAATTTAAAAAGAAAAATAAATTTTTTCATTTAGATAAACATGTAACTCTTTTTGAAAATGATCTTTCTCAATTAGTCGAACAATTGAAACAATTTGTTTATCTGAATATTTATGGCTATATCAATGATGAAAAAGTCGAACCTTATCGATTGATGATTCAAAAACGTTTTCCTAATAGTTATTTCTCTATTGAAAAATCAAGATTTCGTCTTTGGATATAATTTTTTTAATTTTCTTGTTAGAGAATTACTGTATATTCAAACAAAATTTTTTTTGAAACACAAATTCGTTTCACCTTTTCTTTTTGTGTCTGTTAAATGTTTAATAAATTAAAACAAATCTAATATAAAATTACTTTTCGATTCAATTTTAATCTATTGAAAATGAGATCAATTTAAAGAACAAATGAAGAATTTATTGTAGATATTCGACAATTTTCATTCTTCTAATCAAAGCTTCACTATGTAGGTTATAGATTTTTTCACGCTGCATCTTGTGGTTTATTTTGTTCTTTAATATAACGTATTAGATGATGAGAAAATAAAATGCGAAGCGTGACCATTTATTTTGGCTCGCCCGTTATTTCAAGAAATTTCTAGGAATTTTAAGTTATTTGTATCTGTATGACTATAAGAGGTAGAAAGCTGAAATTCTAGCGTAGAGTAGATCTAGATGTGTAGTATATATGCTGTGAATAATAGCCTATTCTGCCGATAAAACATATAATGAAGGAGTATTACTTGAAGGGATCAAAATTTAGGACACACCCTTTATACACATCTAAAGTTCGACTCTAAAGTAAAAACAATAAAATATTCTGTTTCACATATTTTGCACATTCAATTCATTCGAAGATTTTTAATATCATTTTTCATTTCAACGATGGCTATTTTATAGAATCTAAATTAGAATATCTAAATAATCTTCAATAGAATTTCTGCATAATTCATTTAAACTTTTCAGATTATTTCTCTTAATCTCCATAATACATTGTTCTTTTTTTATGGAAACCTTCTCCTCTCAATAAAATTTATTCATATTTGATTTTGATGAAACATAATCAGTTCGTGTATCCATGTTATCCTACAGAAGAAGTTGTTCGTAATAGAGGACATTTACATGTTAATCATATTGATCATTGTTATGAAAGAATTCATTATTGTTCGAATAAGTGAATGAATGAATAAAGTTCATGAACATCATCCTGGGCAAGTTTTTATAGAAAGCAAATAATTGAAATAAGTCGTAAAATCAGATTAAGTTTTGAAGAATTTTTTTTCATTTATAACATTAATTCAAATAATTATAAAATAGTTCTAATGAGTAACGCATATTCCCTTGACTGTAGTCAGGACCTAAAACTCGAAATTGACTGTGTGTTTACTCGCAGAGTAACTACTGTTGTGTGGACCATCATTTTCTCCACTATTGTACGGGCGATACAGTATTGTCCGTGTCGATAGGAGGTTTTTCAAGACACTCTATTATCCGCCCGAACAATGTGGCGTTGTCTTCTAACAATAGGAGAGAACGAGAAAGAGAAGAGTAAACGTTGCTAGGATCATGATTTTCTTCGCTATTGTAATAACAACAGATAAGCTTGTTCGGAGCAAATTATAGAGAGCCCTTGAAAACCTCTAATGAACATGGACAACACTATGTTTCATCCTTACAATAATGGAAAAAATCATGACTCAGAACACCGATCCTTTCCCCTCTTTTCTTTCTCTTTCTTTGTCATCTTAAGAGTAACAGAATTAGCTAATTGTAATGTATTAACACATAGGAAAATACCCGAGGATTGAATAAATCATAGATCAGTTATATATATACCCAAGCTCCAGTTCTGAATTAGTCCTGGTGCATACCTAATCCAAGTGATTCCATAATGATTCTGAGTGATTTTGTTGGTTGAAATCAGCTGTTCCCTCTTGGATTAAAGCCATTGACACACTAGAAGACCCGGGGTCTTCTATTATGTCCCTAAAAAAAGTCATATTTTTTGGTAGTCTCGTCAACAAATCTTAGTTTCACTTGGTTCTTGCTCGATACTTCGTTAGTAAATGAGTTTGTTTCACTTATTTCACACGTGTAGAAGTTAGGATGTCCGCTTGGCTCTCTCCCCCTCTCGTGAGAAGAGTATATATAGTTAAGTATATGACGCTTTGGATGAGTAAATAATATTCCCCCTTTATTGAAAAAAAACACGAAGTATATATAGGAAGAGAAAATTGGACTAGTCAGGGAAGAAGTTGAGAGTTTCTTCGTCTGATTGAAAATGAATAACAAGTAGAGTTACAACAAAAGACGTCAGTGAAGAAGAATAGGTCAGACGGGTAAGAACATATAGTAACAAAAGAAATATAAAATCATCCATATATCCTAACAGTAGAATAAGAAAGAAACAGATATTATCCTATGAAAAAAGAGAGATCATCGTTGGTAAGAAGTGTTCTTAAAACAATGCCATCAATGTAGCCTAGCATCTTGGTGCGATATCCAATAGCGTTCTTTTTTCACAAGGCTAAGACCTATTACTGCCAACATTTTACCTTCTCAATAACTAAATAAATGTAAAAAAAAAGAAAATTAATTTTTTTTTTATCAGACTTATTTAATTCAGTTGCTCATGCGGAGATTTGATTAGTGTGGATGAAATTCGTTCACAGTAAATTTTACGACTAGCATAATCATTAGTCTCAAGCTAACTGAAAAAGAATATGGTTCTCTTGCGAAGAAACAATTTATAGAAAATCAGCAGTTGAATACACATTCTGTGTTTTCTTTTATGTCTGTTTCGAAAAATGCCTTTGGATCTTGTTGAGAAAAGAAATGCGTTCTCAAACTCAAAAGAAGGGCTCACATATCAAACCCTGACGTATATATATGAAGTCATGTTTTCTTCAATTATGAAAGCCTGTTTTGCGGTAAAAACGTTTCTGATTTTTTTTAGAAGAAATTCAAAGATGAAGAGTCTCTTAATTAATACATAACGACATTTTACCTAATCTGTTACTGTTGTACAAAGATCTCTTAATGTATTATAGGCACGAATGTGCACTGCGTTCGTGAGGTCCTATGACCATGGACGCGTGTTCTTCGTGTACAGAACCTGAAGAATGTTTTCCGAGTAAGCTGCAAAGGAGTACTAAAATGACTCTACGATATGTTTTTAACAAAGAAACGCAATCTTTCATAGACAGTTGTTTCCTATTAACTGCTTCTCAAGATTTTACGCACTCGGATCAGACACTTCGTTATGAGGACGGGAGCAAATATTGTTCGTACTGAATTTAGATATTATTATGGACTTAAACATTAAAAGAGTCAATAAACTTCAGAAACTATTTCAAAATATCGATTGTTTTAGGGAGTCTTCTAATATGTCTTTTGCGTCATTTTTTCAAGAGAGGTCTTCTATTATGGGAGGGTCTTCTAATATAGGGAGGTCTTCTAATGCGTCCAGGACTTTAATTCCTCTCAAACTGATAAAATAAGTTCTGCAACGAAATGATTTTGTCGTAATTATCTGACGAAACCGTTTTTAACCTATTCTGAGTCTTATTTAGTAATGATCTTTCTTCTCTCTTGTGCCGATGCAGTCAGATTTTTTTAATTCTTTACTAGAACATATTTTTGTTTGTCTTCATTGATTGTTTGTCGATTTTATACATTCTTCATTTTATATGCTGTGGTTTTAATATAGATATACAAGAAAAAAAAGTTCACGAAACCATATCTGCGTCTCACTAAAAGACTATAAAATCAAAAAGAATTCATCCTTTTCTAGGATTGCCAGGAATATTTGTCGTTAAAAATCGTTTTTTGTGAGTGTTTTTTCATGAATTTCTAATCAGATGAATTGTTATGTAGACCTGCCCTCAAGTGACATTGAAAATCAGTGAAGTCGGTTGTAGTCACTTGAAGTCATTTTGAAGTCAGTCTGACTTCAGATTATTTTTCTGCTTTTACCCCTTGCCTTACTTCGTACATCATGTTGCACTTTTTCCCTATCATATTGATCTTACGTCCTGTCTTATTATTCTTTATTTTCATATTCTTTTCTCTCCAATGCACAAGTATATAAATGTCTGTTTTGTATGGAAACGATGCGATTCTCGATATGAAGCAATATAATAAAGCGTAGTTCCACCAGCGCTGACTCTTCTTCTATCAAAAATCGTCACACATATTTTGAGAAATAATTCTTAAAATTACTGAACTGCCAGAAAAAGATTTTATTCTAGAACAGAAAATAATACTCACTATAAGGAAGGGCTATTCCCATAGCAGAACAAATGTACTCACAATCCGAAAGTGCCATCCCAATAACAAAACAAAAGTGCTCTGTTATGAGAATTATTCTAGAATAATTCCAAGAGAAAAACGGTAGGTTCCAGTCTCATAGAGTCCCAAAGCCAGCTACGGAGCTGCAGAATCTGCCGAAGCTTCCCAGTAGCATGGAGGACCAATTGGAAAATTTTTCCTAGGTTTTGAATATGTATGAACTAGAATATCCAGAAATTTCCCCGAAAGATCTGTTTTTCCCAGCAGCACTGCTGCAGCCTACAGGTAGATTCTGCACCACCGATCAGCTGTTTTTCCCTTGAATTTATATCTAGTAATAGTTTGGATCCATGGGAGAGCAGAAAAAATCCTTTGATGGTACTCATAGGTTCTTCAGGACTATGTTACAGGAGTACCATTCCAATGTGATAGCAAAAGACATAAGGGTAGACAGAAGAATACACTACTTAAGGGTACACCCTCTTTTTTGACACTAGTTGGTTCTCGAAGACCGTACAACCGATCAAGCTGAAATTTTTAGCACAGATAGAGCACCAAAAATAAAGAGATACGTGTCCGAGGAAAAAAAAATTTAAATAATTTTTTATGGGTTTTCCGAAAAACTCTGGTTTTCCAGAGGCTCACATCCTGACACATTACGACCCCCCCCCCCCTTAAAGTTTGTTCGATTGCGCTGAAATTTTATTTATAGACGCCTGACACTATTCCCCAGAGGTAAATTTAAGGATTTCCAAAAATTTCACTTTCTTTTTTTTTTATAAGAGAAATACGCCAAGATTTGAGTTTGTGCTTCAGATCTTGACTTTCACGACCAGGTAACTCCGAGCAGGAATGTCAAAAATGAAAACGCTTGATTTTACTTCTGGAGAACACTTCGAAGTATTAGTGGTGAAATTTTCAGCTCGATCGGACA